CTGTGGTATACCCTGTGTGTACAAACAGGATATGATTCACAGTAGTTTGGTGCAGATCCAACGTAAAAATCATGTGGATCCATGAAGATCCGTGTCTGGGACAGATGTGAATGCCTTTCTGTGTCAGAGTAAATGTGCCTTGAATCGTTGTCCCCTGAATTCCAACAGCATGTCTTTCATATTGGACAGCTGTCCCGAACTTTGGCATTTTCCCCTTCCTATTCCACAATCTGATCTCCCTCACTCTCCTCCTTCCTCCTTCTTGCTCTCTGCATGCTGGGTTGCAGCCTAGAACAGCAATGGGGGTTTAGGTGGCCAAGAAAGGAGGGAGGGAGGGAGCCTTCAAAGGCAAAGCAAGGCAATTCCCCTCCCTACTGACTCTCCACTCCCATTTTCCTCTGCAACCCAAAGTCATGTAAACAGGCTGGCTGAGGTGCAGAATGTGGAGCCAGTGAGCCAAAAGAAGCCAACATTAGTGCAGCTGGAGCTCAGCCTTCTAGCCAGCAGACCCTTCCCTGGGTGGAGATGTGTCAGGGACTTCGTAAATCTCTCTGACATACCATAGCCCACTTTGTCCAGTGACTCAGGGTAATACATGATGGGAACTCCCTCCAGTTTTCTGCTCTCCTTTGTCCACTAACATTTGTGCTGTGCAAGGGTTTGATACTTATTTGAGGGTGAGGAACTGTGCCATTTCCAGGCATACAAAGAACTTGTGAAAAAAGAAACATAACACACGGGATTTGTTATGGCATGAATGTTCACCAGGGAAATCTGCCTCATCAGATGTTCTACATGCATCATTTACATTCTTGCATGTAAGAGCTCACCCCTCCAAATGCATTGTTTAGCCTCTGATGTGATACATACTTTCCTACCTTTTTTGCAGCTATTGACAAAACTCAGCTGCTGTTTCAGAAATGTCACTTGGACTCTCTTGTCCAGTGAAGCTGCAGAAAATAGAGGTGTGATTCAGGGGAAAGCTTGCCATGAGCAGGACAGTCTATATTGTGTCCTAAAAATAACCACACATTCAAGGGGGGGGGGGAAGCTGAATCCTGTAGCCTGTACACATTGTGCAAGTGTGTATATATGTTGTTCATTTTTATTATGGTCTGGTTCTGCTAGAGCAAACAACTGCCCAGTAGCGTTCCCACTTACCTTACTTAATGCCTCTTCCTGTAAATGTGTGTCTCTAGTCATGAGAACTAGAAACATATTTTATTCTAGAATTGCCTTATATTAAATTGGAATACAGTAGGACCCCCGTATCCGCAGAGGATTAGTTCCAAGCCCCCCCCCCCAATGGTGAAAAGACCGGATTATAGCGAACACTTTTATAATAGCAAACACTATATATTGCATGCTCTCTGGCTTCCTCTAGTGGCCAGTTCTGGTAACTTCATTATTAGAAAAATGTATGGGGGGATTTTTGTCCGCCAGTGGAGTCTTCCACACACACCTCCCTGGGGCAACGCCCCCAGGAGGGCTCCTTTTATTAACCTTACAAATTGTTGATAGTATACAGATAGGATGATGGTTACACAATGCCAATTAGGATTGACCCAAGAAAGGCTTTAAAGTTAGCTCTCTATTTCTATGAGAATAAGGAAGAATGGGTAGCCGCTCCTCCTCTCAGAAGCAGCTGCGTCCTGCTAGGAGAGTGTGCGCATCACTACAACAAGAATGCAACTTAGCAACCTTGGGGAGAGGGTTCCCACATTCCCTCTTTTCCTTTTTTATTAATTAAAGTTATATATTCTTTCATATGCTTATGAATTACATATAGATCCTTTCTATGAAGGCCAGAAGGCGGAGCTTTGAAACAAGCAGTTATTACGGAAAAAAAAGTTGGAATTGGACTGCAATTCCCAGTAGCCTTCACCACCAGTTGTTCTGGCTGGAGTTTCTGGGAGCTGCAGTTCAAGAATTCAAGGTTGGGAACCATTGCTCTACAGTCATGCTGGCTGGGAGATTGTGGAAGTTGTTGCCATTCAAAAAGTAAGGCTTCCAAGCTATGTTTTTCCTGTACTCCTAGCTCCTTGGTTGCAAAGCATGAGAGAGATAAACATGGCGGCTTCCTTCAGGGAAGGAATGCTGGAAGGTTTTTCCCCCTCCTTTCTTCTTTGAGATCTGTTGTTGTTTAGTCATTTAGTCGTGTCTGACTCTTCGTGAACCCATGGAACAGAGCATGCCAGGCCCTCCTGGGTCAAATTCATGTTGGTACAATCAATGACACTGTCCAACCATCTCATCCTCTGCTGTCCCCTTCTCCTCTTGCCTTCACACTTTCCCAACCTCAGGGTCTTTTCCAGGTTGTCTTCTCTTCTCATGAGATGCTAAAATAGTGGAGCCTCAGCTTTAGGATCTGTCCTTCCAGTGAGCACTCAAGGTTGATTTCCTACAAAATGGATAGGTTTGTTCTCCTTGCAGTCCAGGGTACTCTCAAGAGTCTCCTCCAGCACCACAATTCAAAAGCATCCATTCTTCAGCAGTCAGCCTTCTTTATGGTCCAGCTCTCACTTCCATACATCACTACTGGAAAAACCTTAGCATTGACTATGCGGACGTTTGTGGGCAAAGTGATGTCTCTGCTTTTTAAGATGCTGTCTAGGTTTCTCATCGCTTTCCTCCCAAGAAGCAAGCGCCTTTTAATTTCGTGGCTGCTGTCTCCATCTGCAGTGATCATGGAGCCCAAGAAAATAAAATCTGTCACTGCCTCCATATCTTCCCCTTCTATTTGGCGGGACGTGATGGGACCAGTGGCGATGATCTTAGTTTTTTTTTATGTTGAGCTTCAGACCATTTTTTGCACTCTCTTCTTTCACCCTTATTACAAGGTTCCTTAATTCCTCCTCACTTTCTGCCATCAGAGTGTATCAGCGCTCAGCTGCCTCTTGTGGCTGCCCATTGACTACCGCCGCTGTCCGATTGCCTCCTCTTCCTCCTGCCAGGGTTTACCTCCAGCTCACATCGCTGCCTTGCCCCTTGCCTGAAGGAGATGATCTCTGGAGGAGATGATCTGACATTGGCATCAGCAGTCAATGGGCAGCTGCGAGAGGCGACCAAGCATGGCTGCTCCTCTGCCTTCGTCTTCACCTCCTCCTCCTCCTGCAGTCTCCTCCAGCACCACTCGTGGGCTCAGCAGCAGCAGCAGGAGGTGGAGACAGACGCAGCCGCGCTCGGTTGCCCAGCAGCAGCAGGAGGTGGAGACAGAGGCAGCCGCGCTCGGTTGCTTCTCGCGGCTGCCCATTGAGTTCTCCTCCACCTCCAGCAAGGGTAAAAATTAGGGGGTTGTCCTATACATTGGGGAGGGGTCGTATACACGGAGTGTTAAGACTTTGTGTGAAGTAATATAGTTCACTGTGTTATTGCACAGCTGTAGCACTCATTATTCTTATTTTTCTCTCTGTTTCTCTCTGTTTTTTTTAAATCCAGGCTGCACTGTTGGGACACATGTATTTGTAATAAAACCAAGCTGTGGATTCGGTGTGAGTGCCCTGAAAGGCCGTATTGAGAACAGAAAGATAATGCAAAAACAAAGAGACTGTTGTGATATAGTTACTGTATTTGACCTGGAATAGGGATGTTCAGATTCAAACCCTAATTAATTTAAATTAAGAGAAAAATATTATTTTTCAGTGCTGCTGTATGTTGTAGGCACAGCTGGAAACATTGTGAGAGTAACCAGTGCCAGAAAATCAACAACAGGTTAGGCATCCTTCAGTCTCAAAAGACTATGGTAACATACTCTGAATAGAGGACTCGGAACTGCATCTAATGTGGCTGAGAAGGCCAATTCGAGAGTGACAATTCCTTCCAGGCTGAAGACAAATACAGTCTGTCCCCTGTCCAGCTCCCTGATTTTGCTGGTTTTGGGACTGCCTCTTTGCCTTGGCCTGCTGGACAACGGGCTCTTCAAATTGGGAGAGGCTGTGATGCACCGCCTGCCTCTAGGCTCAACGCTCAGATGTCAGGGTTTCCCATCTGTGGAGGTCCATTCCTAATGCTTTTAAATCCCGCTTACAGATATTCTTGTATCGCAGCTGTGGTCTCCCCCTCTGGGGCGCTTTCCTTGCACTAATTCCCCATACAGGAGATCTTTTGGAATCCGACCATCAGCCATTCTCACGACATGCCCAAGCCAACATAGACATCACTGTTTCAGTAATGTATACATGCTAAAAATTCCAGCCCGTTGTAGGACTAATCTGTTTGGAACTTTGTCCTGCCAGGTTATCCGAAAAATGTGTCGGAGGCAACACATATGGAAGGAGTTCAGCTTCCTCTCCTGTCGTGCACAAAGGGTTCAGGACTCACTGCAGTAAAGGAGTGTACTCAGGACTCAGGCTCTATAAATATGGATCTTGGTATATGTCATCAGCTTCTTATTAAGCCATACTCTCTTTGTGAGTCTAGGGAAAATGGTAGCTGTTTTGCCAATGCGCTTATCCAGCTCAACATCTAGGGAGAGAGTGCCAGAGATAATTGAACCAAGGTACACAAAGTCATGAACAACCTCCAATTTTTGCATGGAGATGGTAATAGAGGGAGGTGAGTCCACGTCCTGGCCCATGACTTGTGTTTTGTTCAGGCTGTTTGTTAGTCCAAAGTCTTGGCAGGCCTTGCTAAAACGATTCATAAATTGTTGGAGGTCTTCAGCAGAATGGGCAACAATGGCTGCATCATCGGTGAAGAGGAAGTCCTGCATGCATTTCAGTTGGACTTTGGTCTTTACTCTGAATAAAAATAAAATCAACGTTGTCCCTCCTTTGCTGCAGCAGCAACTGTGGCCTGGACTATGACCTGTATAAAGATGGGTTTGGTGTTTTGATCTCTTCCCTTCAATGACTTTTTTATTTACCAGCATGGCTACAGAAGGAATGTGTTTTTTTTTTATACCCTCCTACACTTCAGCATGCACAAACAACCTTGAATTGAGGCTCTTTATTTAAGGGTTTTTTGCCAACAGGCCTCTCTCTTAATCTCTATTCCTGCAGGGTTTATGAGTACCCAGAGATCCCCCCTCTCATCAGTTACATTCCTGTCAAGATCAGGCGGAGACACCTAGGGGCACGGAGCAAGACCAGCCTAGGCCCACATACAGCGCTAAGAGGAAGCAGCAATTCCACAACAGGCACTACAAAATGTGAGTTCTTTTGCACCCGAGATCTTGGTGTCAAGGTACCTCCCGTCTAGCCTTCAGTAATTCTACAGTTTGATGTCAATTATGCATTATGTCTATATTGCTGTGTGCTTGATCTAACTAACACTGTTTGGCTGAGCTGACATTATGGCCCAGATTGTTTACGAAGATTCCTGTTGCTCACAATAATGTAATGAATAATTTGGCTTCTTGGGGCAGTCTCGCTAGCCAGAGACCACCTCTGAAAGAGAATTCAAAAATGCAGGCAGTGTCAATAAATGAGGAACGGGTATTTTATAAACCTAATGTCCTTTCCAGACCAAGTGGTTTCCCAGTACTTTGCACGGGTATAACAGGAATAACTTGCATCAATATGCTGTTCCTAGAAGAGTCCATCGATTTCTCTCCCAGCTTCTGGGAAAAGGGAAGCTAGAGTGCAGGTGGCGGCCGCGGCTGTGTCTCGGGGCCTGTCCACACCACTGGGAAATTTGGCAGGGTCTGATCTGCACTTAAAAGGTTCTTATCTTAAGTGTCATCTGTTTTAACTCTGAGCAACCCTGCTGTCCCAAGCTGAAGATTGTACTACTACACTGAGCAAAGTTTACCTGATTTACTCACGATTAAGGAGCCACATACAAAAGTACTCAGGGACAGCTGCAGCATGAGGGGAAAAGGTTGGGGTAAAGGTTGGGAGGACAGCAAGGAGGGAGCACTCCCGTTTCCCTGCCTTTCTCCTCAGCCCGGGCTCTGCTGGGGCTGCATTGCCCATGGAGTCAACATAGCTCCCTTCCCTGCAGCTGTAATTTAGGGAGCTGGGGTGGTTCCCCCCCCTTTGTTAAATAAAGTAAGTGGGATATTGAAATGGCCATGCATCAACCGAGCACGGTAATTATAATTTCACTGCATTGGTCAGGGAAATGTTATAAAACAAGACAAAAATAGAAGAGAGAGTTTCTGTGCCCTCCCTTTTAATGTCACAGCCCACCTATTATATCATAGGGTTTTCACCTCTGTTAATGCTGCCCATAGTGCCGTTTGGGTGTGGGCTATCTGTCTGCACAGGCTACACAATGAGATAATGAAGATTCTGTTGTATCATGCCAAGAAGAATACATGTCCTACTGGTGTGCCAGAAAGGCCAGGACATCTTGTGAAGGGGCAAGATGGATTGTTCTAAGCAGTAATGTGTGGGTGCCATCGTTTGGTTCAAACTGACTGTACCAATAGTGATCCATATATCAATCTATTTGCCCATGTGGACAGCTTCATCATCTCCACTACCCAGAAACTCTCGTAGTTTTGATCCTGTGAGCAGTAACTGCAATGCACCGTGGTTTGCTTCTGAACAATGTTATCAAGAGTGTCTTTAATCCACTTTTTCTGAGAGTAGTCATATGTCATAGTGGGGAGACTATTAAGAAGAAGACTAGGAGGTTCCAGGAAATGCAGAGCTAAAGGGCAGGGAATCTAGAAACCAGCAGTTTCAAGGAAGGATCCAAAATAGGCAGTGAACTGGAAAATAGTACCCTGAAGGATCACTAGATGTATGTTTGGGTCCCCTATGGGGAGAAAGACAATTAATCAGTCAGTCAATCAATGTACGATATGTATGTTTACAAAGCCAGATGAGATAGGGAACTGAAGCAGCATTGCATGTTGTTGTGAACTAAACATCCAAATGTTTGATTCCAAATTCTTTTAAAGTTTTATTCCAGTTTGTTCCATGCCAAGCTGGTCCTAAATGTTATGGCCAGAATGCTGTGGATCCTGAATAGTGTAAGTAGGCAGTAGTGTATGCTATCTGGCTATTGTGCACCTCAGCTTCTCAGGACAGAGAATGATCAAACAACAGGTGGTGGGCAAAGAGGGAACAACTGCTGTACAGTTGCTTTATGTACAGTATTTCCAGATGTGTTTCCTACACACAGATGCTTCTACATTCTGCAATTACAGGTTTCTGGGTTTGAAGTGCAGCATTCAGTATGCACAACTGCATCTGTACATCAATAATAATAATAATAATAATAATAATAATAATAATAATAATAATAATAATAAACTTACAGCAGCCCTTTGCATGGTTTTCCAGGTAGAGAGTAGCTTTACCATTCTCTTCTTCTGAGGGGGGGTACCCTGGGACTGTGCAACTTGTCCAAAGCCACACAGACTGGCTGTACTTGCAATCTTTAGCTCTGCAGCCAGATACCTAACTCACTGAACTATCCAGCCAGCATCCTTACACATGCCAAATTCTCCCAGTTAAAGATTTTCAAATCTTCTTTACAGGCCTCTAGAAAGCTATACAGTATGTCTTTTCTTTTGTTTTGTTGCTGTAAACCATGCTGTGAAGACAATAATCTTGAAAGTTGGCTAAGAAATGCACCAAATATATGAATATGTGGTTTAAAACAGTATTTCATTCGCCCTCCTGTTTTTCTGCAAATCACAGCCAACTGAGATTGCTTTTCATTAAAAAAAAAAACAGAATGTTGTCACATACATTTGTGTGCAGCATGTGGTTTCATCTCAAAGGATGGATTCAATTACTTGTACACATAGGTATAAAACTATAACCCCTCAATCCCCAGCATAGACAAAAGGGTACCAGTAATGGAGCTTAACCAGTTCACAAAGTCTTTTCTTCTAGTGAGAGCAGAAGAGTTACACTCCATCAAAGGAGAACTAAGCCAAATAAAAGCGCAGGTGGATAGCTTGTTGGAGAGTCTGGATCGGATGGATCAGCGACGTGAGCACCCCATAGGTGAGTGGGTCAGTATGCTTAAAAGATGTCAGGAACATTTGGTGATGATTTCTTTAATACCATTAGTGAGCAACATGCTTATTCCAAAAAGAAAATGGCCTTGATGGCAAAGGGTGAGTTCTTTATTATTTCTTCATTTACAAACTTTTATAGACTGCCCAGGGACGTGGTGGCACTGTGGGCTAAACTGCAGAAGCCTGTGCTGCAGGGTCAAAAGACCAGCAAGTTGTAAGATCGAATCCACGCGACGGAGTGAGCTCCCGTCGTTTTGTCCCAGCTCCTCGCCAACCTAGCAGTTCGAAAGCATGCAAATGCGAGTAGATAAATAGGTACCACCTCAGTGGGAAGATAAAACGATGTTCCCTAGTCACGCTTGCCACGTGGCAACGGAAACTGTCTTCGGACACGGACAAGCACTCGCTCTACAGCTTGAAAACGGGATGAGCACCGCCCCCTAGAGTCGGACACGACTGGACTAAAATGTCAAGGGGAACCTTTACTTTTATAGACTGCTCAAATCTGGAGATTTCAAAGTTGTGTACAACAATAATGAAATGTACAAATACAGAAGACACACTCTTAAAATACAAGGATTTACATTGTCTGTGAAGCCAGTGGTTGCTTGGACTACATAAGGGAAGGCTTGTAAAAAACTTAGTTACATTTTCAACATACTGCATGTCTAAAACTACAGTTGGTGCATGTTGAATTTAAAATGGAAGGGTTTTTCACAGAAGTGGGGCCTTCTTACTAAATGCCCTACTCCACATAATTGCAGGACTGAGGTCTCCCTCAGGAACAAATGATACCAGCAGAGGCCTCTCCACATGACTTCAAGAACCAAATGGATCTATAAGGGAGAGAGCTTAAGTCCCTAGTTCTTTAGGGTTTTATATATGGATTACAAAATCTTAATCCTGGTCTAGGAGCATATAAAAAGCTAGTACTGTATAATTCCTTCAGGAAAGATGTTATGTCTGTACCTAACCAAATATTCTGCACCAGCTGCAGCTTCTGAAGTAACCTTAAGGGCAGCCCCACATAGAACACACTACTGTACTCCAGCCTTAAGGTTACCTTGAGGATCACTATAGCCAAACCTGTATCTGTCTAAGAATGGCCACAACTAGCATACCAGCTGAAGCTGATGAAAAACCCTCCAGGCCACTAAAGTCACCTGGGACTTCAATGAGAAAGACAGATGAAGGGTTAACTCATCTGAGTGCTTGATTGTTCAGGGGGTACATCTGTCCAAAACAGAAATTGCACCCACAAGACTACCGTTTTCTTAAGATTCGGCCTGAATGTATTGGTCCTCTCCTATCCCTCACTGCATCGTCCTATCGGGGTTTATAGAAGTTGTCATATGGTTTACAGTGTGCCTGATGAAGTGGACTCTGTTGTGGTGTGTTGCCTTCAACACTGGTGATGGAACCAGGGCAGAGGTGGCAGGACTACCACACGACCTCTCCTCATGCTGAGTAAACGCTCCTTACTCACCAGTAGATAAGGCTGCTGAGCAGGCTTTCCGGCTTGCCTGACACTCCTGCTACTGGCTGTCCTGATTCCACAGGTGCCAAGGAAGGCAAGAAGAAAGCTTTAACCGGTGGAGAGGTGTCATCCCAAGCAGGAGAGCCTAGCCAGAAGAAGGAAAGCACAGACGACGACACCCACGCTGCCCTGCCTTATTTTGACAGTGCAGAGGAGAGCACAGACACTGAAGAGGCGGTACGTAACAACACTGAGTTTTGTGTTAAACGATGAATAAGAAAATAATGGGGAAAACTGTAAATCCAGAAGCAAGGGATATAGCGATGTGGAGATAGAAGATAGTATTACATTTGCTTTCTTCCTCCAGTGGGCAGTTGAAGAGTTGCTACTGTGATTCTAGGGGCTCCTGTGCTTGGTACACATTTCAGAATCTCAGCAAGAACTCTAATCACTAGCTGGAAGTGAGTGAATGTGTTTGCCTTCCACTTGTGTAATGAAACAAGAGGATTCCAGCTATTCCATTAAAAGTAATATGGGAAGTAGCACACTTTGCACACAGGCAGGTAGGGTCACCAATTTGGATTTGCTCATAGTACCATAATTATTATTTTCTTAATGTCATGGAAAACTCAAAATAAGATATTCAAACGGATATATATGGGATATGTCTCAAGAGCAACTTTTATGAAGCTTCTTGTTCTGTTGCAGGCAAGGAATCACACACTTGATCTTGAAGGCAGCAACTAAAAAGACCTGGAGCGCTTCTACCCCTTGTCTAGTATCTCCTTTTCTCTGTGTTGTATTTCTTTCACTGCCTCCAGTAAGTGCTAAACTTGACATCAGTTACCTGCAAACAATCCTTATCTAAAAGGAGAAAACAGGTCCGTAAACTGTCTCACTAGCACCTTGAGCTGATACGGCAGATAGACTCCTAAGACTTTTTGAAGAAAACTTCCAGTGTCCTTTGTTTGTGGAAATTTAAAATAAATGTGCCAGTGTGGGAGAAGGGTGGAGAAAGCAGGCAATGTAACTGACAAATTAAACCAACTCATCATTAAGCAGAAATAAAGCAGTAGTGATCTTCTACAGTTATAGCTCATTGGTTTTATTTTATTGGTCAGGTAAGTATTCCAGAGTTTGGAAGGAACTACTTTCAGAAAACAAGTTACCTTTTGCAATAAGACTTAACGTAGAGTAATATAAATTATAACATAAGAAGAGATAAGCACACCTTTTGCATTGTAGCTGTTTTAATTATTTTTATAGTTAAGGGAATTCATGAATTCACAACTTAAGGGTTTTTACAACATGCCAGGGGCTCATAGCTTTATGACGTACAGTCAACCCTCGACTTACAAACGGCTCGAGTTACAAACATTTCGACTTACAAACCACTCTGATAGAAAAATATTGACTCGACTTGCACACTTAGATTCGAGTTACAAACCAAAAAAAACATGTTTGAGGTGGGGAAAGCATGAAGTTTGAACTTTCAGTTAACCGTTGGCCAGTGAAGAGGGTGCTTATCTGCTTCCTCGCTCTTCCCAGTGTTTTGAGAGTGGATTTGGAGACAGTCTTCAGACTGCCTGGTACTGCCTGGTACTGCTGGTATTGCCTGCTACAGTGCAGTACGAACTGTATTTTTATTTTTTGGCGCTTTTTTAATTTTTGATTTTTGGATTTTTAAAAGGTGTTCCCTCCCTCCTTTGCTGCCCCCCCCTTTCCCCAAAAGGTGCTTGTATTGGCTTGTCTTGATTTAAAAGGTGCTTTTCAAGGTGATCTGTTGTCTGAAAGGTGCTTGGTTTTTTCCAGAAGGTACTTGTCTTGGCTGAAAATGTGCTTTTCAGGGTGTTCTGTTGAAAAGGTGTCTGTTCCCTCCTTCTCTCCCTCATTTCTTTCCTTTTTTTTAGCCTAAGTCATCTTAGGTTAAAAGGAAAGAAAGAAATTCTGCCCCTAGTGGTAGGAACGGATTAACCGGCTTTGCCTTAGTTCCTATGGGAAATGCCCCTCAACCTAAGAACCAAAAACAGCCGGAACAGATTAATTGGTTTTCAGTGCATTCCTATGGGAAATGCTGATTCGACTTACAAACTTTTCGACTTACAAACTGCCTTCCAATACGGATTAAGTTTGTAAGTCGAGACCCCACTGTATCCTTACTGCAGTCCAAAATAACATTTAAATCATTTAAAATAGGCTGGTTTTAAAAATTTCAGCTGTAAAGGGAAGTAATTTCAGGAGGCTTTGGATTTGTAACTAATAAATTATTTTTAAAAACATCCCCTCATATGCCAGACAAGAGATCCTTTAGCTTTAGTCATCTATCCTGTATAGATATGGCAATTGATGCCACACAGAATTCTGAGATTTATATTCCTATACACCTTTATCTCACTCTGTGAGGCTTACTTCTGAGTAGCCTTGCAGAGGATTACATTATATGAATCATAAAACTAGTACTCTTACTGCTGAATTAGATCAAAGCATGAGCTATTCTGGGATCCTGTTTCTCATGGTGGCCAGCTATATTTTATTTATTTATTACATTTGGGTATCTGGCTGTAGCTGGGAGTTCGATTCCCCACTATGCCTCCCCCACAAGAGCTGGACTCGATTATCTATAGGGTCTGCAGTTCTTAGATGAGGATGTATATATTGTCCAAAAGCTCTCTGGGCTTGAAAAATACAGTCGTGCCCCACTGGACGATTACCCCGCTCTACGACGAATCCGCTTTACGTTGATGTTTGCAGTCGCTTTTGAGATCGCAAAATGATGTTTTAAATGGGGATCTTTCGCTGTGCGATGATCGTTTCCCTGTTTCGGGAACTGATTTTCGCTTTATGACGATCAGCAAACAGCTGATCATCGGGTTTCAAAATGGCCACCGGCTGAAGAAAATGGACCCCCCCTGTTTTCTAGGACGGATTCCTCGCTTTACAGGCACCAAAAATGGCCGCCGTATGGAGGATCTTCGCTGGACTAGCAGGTATTCAGCTCATCAGAACACATTGAACGGTTTTCAATGCGTTTCAATGGTTTTTTTTATTTCATTTGACGTTTTCGCTCTACAGCGATTTCACTGGAACGAATTAACGTCGTCAAGTGAGGCACCACTGTAAAGCCATGCATGAAAAACTTAGCATAAAAAAACCTTCCAGAAACAAATACAATACAATAAAACCAAAACAACCCTCTATTCTGAAAATCATGGAACAATAAATTTTTATTTTTGAAATTTATTTAACAATAAAAAAAAGAAAAATCCTAGGTAAAAAAATATGTTCTTCTGGTGCCCAATAGTATACAACGCAGGGTGCTAGATGAGCATCTCTGGAGGGTATGCCACAGTCAAAGTGCCACCAAATGAAGGGGCCTTCTCATCCTGCATCATCTGGTGGGAGCATTCAGAGGAGGGCTTCTCAGAGACTTGAGCACAACCTAGGTTAGAAGCCTCTTGAGAGTTTTACCGTCAGAATCCAAGACAGCAACTTGGGCTTGCCAGTCCCCCAGCAACTGAAATTCAGAAACTTTCTTCTGAACAGAGGATATGCCATACATCCATTGTGAGTGAGAGCCACTCAATAGGTTTTCCACTATGAATTTCTCCCCTCTCTTTTAAAGACATGTAATCCAATGATCATCACTACACCTTATGACTGTGGACTGAACAAATTGATTGGTCTCTCTCTCTCTCATCTCCTGTTCACCAGTGTCACATTGCAATCACAAGTTCCAGTATTAGAAGGGGGAGAAAAGCTTCTCTGTGCATGTTTCCTGCATCTCACATTTCATAAGCCCTCCCTGCCAGCTGCATTTTTTTCTAGGCCAAATAAGCTAAGTGGTGTAACCTTTTCTAATAGGAAAGATGTTCCACCTACCCTTTCTCTCCCATGTATTTCATTCTGGCATTTTTAAGGAGGCTTTTGGAATTACATTTCACAGGACAAATAAACACAGCTAAGGTCGGCATCCAATTGATCACCTTTTATTTGACCACTCAAAAAATCAAAAATAGTCTGCAGGATGTCTCCCTTTTTATTGCATAATCTGACAATAAAACTCAAAGCAATTACTGTCCAATTCACTATGCAGCTATTTTTGAACTTTCCAAACTGACAAGCAAAAGCCTAGCAACTGGTGGGCTATTTCTTCTCTTTCATCTTCAGAACAGAGTCCAGCATGCAGGAGGGAGATGATTCTTAGAAAGGTGACTCTGGAAAAGGTCTTTTGTGAAGCCACTGAAGGAATACTGAAAATAAAAGGTTTTTATCCCAGTACCTTTTGCCATTGTTTTTGAGATCTAATGACTGCCCATGGTTCAGCTATCACTTTTCAAAGGGGAATTAGAGGAGCAAGAATGCATCATACGAATCTGCTTTGAAACTGCATGCTTAGATCCCTCATTGTATCTTCCTAAGTCTTCACCAGTAAATGAGAGGTGCGATCATGGCCACCATCAACAATTACTGATCGGTATTTCCTTCTCCTTCCTTGTTTCCAAATGAAACATCTCCAGCCCTACCTGTGTTGCATTGGTACTAAAATTGGTGGTCAACATGAGGAAATGTAATGTCTACGTTTTAAAGGTCAGAACATTTAAATGTTAGAATATTTTAATGCAAATGAATTGGCATTAGTGTCCTGTAGCCCCAGCATCCCCTGGCCAAAGAAACTGTTGGGAGGGATAATTCCCTCAGCAGTGGAAGCTGTGCCGACCCTGGAGCATTGACTGGCTGTGGTCATGGACTGGACAAGGGCTAACAGGTTAAAACTGAATACAGATAAGGCAGAGGTTAGGATCAAGCCAGGGGCAGCCTGCCTGTCACACTACCCCTGAAGGATCAGGGTGTGTAACCTTGGTGTGCTGTTGGACCGAGCTGTCTCAAGAGAGAACCAGATCCCAGCTGTGGCCAAGTCTGCCTTTTGCCAGCTGAGGTGGATCACACACCATCCTGACAAGAATCCCCTTACAGCATTAGGCCATGCGCTTGTAATCAAAAATAGACTATTGCAACACACTCTACGTGGGGCTGCCCTTAAAGGCAGGTTGGAAGATGCAGCAGGCGCAGAACGCTGCTGCCAGGTTGGTCTCGAGAGCATCTCTTTACGAGAGGGGTATCCTGGCTTGTCTGCACTGATCGCCTGTTTGCTTCTAGGCCAAGTTCAAGATGCTTATGCTAATTTTTTAAAGCCTGTAGCAGTTTAAGACCTTGCAACCTGGCTGAGCACCTTTCCATCAAAACATCTACCCATCCCATCTGCACTTTGCATATTGGGAGGGCTGGAAACCAGTAATTCAAACCCAGGCTTTTTCTGTGGTGGCAGCTTCACTTTGGAACTCCCTTCCACCAGAGGTATGACTGGCCCCATCCCTCCCGGGCTTTAGGAGGCATCCTGGTTGTTTTCCCCAAGCCTTTCAATAGTTTGCCCCTAAATAAGTAATTTTATGTATCATTTCTGCCACCAGCCTGCCATTAATTTTCACTGTTGTTTTACTATTGTTTTTTTAAATGACTCTGTGTTCTTTTAGCTGCCAGAGTAGTAGCCTAGCTACTATCTGGGCAGGATATAAATGCAAATAAATAAATAAATAAGGTTAATATATTACCTGTTCATTTAAGTGAAAATGAGAGAAGTTACCAGGAAAAAATTACCCATGAGGTCAGCTGTGCCCACACTGTAGCACAGAAAAGCAGAGGGGTGCTGGGGGAAAGATTTCTTCGACAACACCCCAAGAGGGAGTGTTGTGCAGTACGTGGATTTCCCCACTGTTGTATCCTAGAATATATATTTTAGGATATCCATCCACAAGTTTATCGAGCACAGCATTATGAAGATGGCACCTATCTCTCAAAAATTTCAAGTGTAAATAAACCACATTTTAAAAGATACAAAACCTGATTGTTCTTTGATCATTTTGGACAACAACTCCCAAGTCTTACCACAGGCCAAGCTGGGTTGGAAGTCTGAAGTCCAAAACATGTGGAAGGCCAGAGATGCCCTCCTTCTGGTCTATAATACAGCAAAAACATGAAAGCAGGCACCAATGTTAAACTAATTTAATTACAAACAAGAGATCTATAATCT